TCGAGTATATCTTCCAGTTTGGTCCCTGTTTTAGAATCAATGATGGACAGAGAGCTGCATCTTTGCACTCATCGATTTCCAAATGATCAATATCCGGCACCTTAAGAACATTGGATATTAGGAGTCCAATGATCACCACAGATAGGGGGAACAGCTTTTCTTTTTTTGTCAGTGGTATTTTGCTTTGTATATTGTAAAGTCTTTTGACAGAGTAGAAGCGTTCTTGAGAGATGAGTGCAGCAAAGTAGGTCTGTAATGTCATGAAAAAATAAACTGCGACCTGTATTCCACTTATGCTTGTTAGTAATTTGGTACTTCTTACTTCGGCATGATAAAGATAGATGGTTACAATGATAAATTGTAAGGCGCGAAGTACTAGAAATATATTGTCATTTATTGTTAAGCAAAAGAGAAGGTACGAAGTCTTGTTGTACTCAATGCTTTTGTAAAAAACAGCAAGCGCAAGAGAGTTCAGAGTTACTCCTACCAGTGCACAGAGGGAAATTATGATATTTGCTATCCATAGATAATATTTGTACTCAGGGGCTATGCCTAGCACATCGGTGCCATTTGCCAAAGTTGCATTAAGCTCTGCCATCTGTTCTGCCTCAGTTTGTCCTCTTCACAGTCTGAACAATTTTGTCTCTGATCATCTGAGTAGCACTTCATCACTTTCAATCATTTGCAAACGGACATTTTTATTTTTTAGTCAATTAGTTAAAGTAAATTTCGTTATATTTCTCACTTTGGTTTAGCATAAATAAAATGGACAAATATCAATCAACCTACATGCTATTGTGTTTGTCAAGTCATTTCATTAATTCATACTTATGCTTCGGAGACAAAACAATTACTAGCTTCTCCGATAAGGGGTTAACAGATGAATGAAAGGGGAGGGGGGGGGGGGTGGAGGTTTACAGTGTCTGCATACAACAAAAAGTCAACGGTCACACTGGCTTATACTAACATGAAAACGCCAATCAGTAAAGAAAGATTATTTTTTAAAAAGTATTGAAATGACGAAGAAACTGAAAATAAAACTTAAGTTGATCACTCACCAATGTACATCTTCTCTGCAGTTCAACATTCACCGGTTTCCGTATTCTGACTTGGAATACTCGTACAGCCACTAATATACTGTTGGTGACGTGGTGCACGCTTAGTCCTCGCTTCTATAAAAACTATCCAATCATACATCACGTATATTCTACCAGAGTCACAGAATTGACTTTTTTCACTAGATAGTCACAGATGTGTCTCTAGCTCACTCAGCTAAAACATTATTCTTTCCTGCCAGAGTTTTAGAATGAAATTATCATATCACTCAACTGGCCTCTAGTATATAGAGTGGTAACGCTAGGATTTTTTTTTTCTTTTTGCATGGCCAAACCACCACTTTTTTCAATTTGTCATCCAAATGGTTGTAATTTGATTAAAAGAAATCAAATCAAGCCCTTTTTGTTAGCCAATTCAAGTCAGTTTTAGCATTTGTGTTAGCAATAGTTCGCGAGTGTTTGCGCTACCCCAGTTGAGGGTATTTTACTGGAGCGTGCATGGAATGAGAAGGCACAAAAATGATAATGAGTTAAAATTGTCTTTGAAAGAGTATTGGGTTTATGATATATCGGAATGGAAAGACTGACTGGCTATCAGGATATATATATGTTATGCTTATTGTAGAGATGTAAATAAGCATGGTGGAATATTAGTATATCAAAGAGCGTTTAGTAAATGGTCTAAAAGAAGCCAAACCCCCTAAATTAGACACTGCCGCCTTATTATCAGTCAAGCAGGTTACAGGGCTTGACAAAAATATTGTATTTAGTGCTGTGTGGGTTTACCTCAAGGGGCTAGTATTTATTAGCAAAATCATGTAAATGGAATGCGGGTATTGAGTGAATGGTTGCTCGGAATGAAAGCAACATACGAGGACGAATATTTTATGTTAGTGGGAGATATGAACGCAAGGACTGGAACGTTAAACGGCTTTATCGAAATTGATGGAGCGGAACATGTAGCCGATTGGTATGAAAGAAAAAAATAAAAATCTAGAGTACAACAGACATGGTCAGGACTTGGTCGAACTGTGCTGTAGCACGGACATTCATTTGTAAAATGGGAGAAAACATGGAGGTGTGGATGGAGAATATACGTGCCAAGCCAACATTGGTCTTAGTACAGTAGACTACGTTATTACGGACACGGAGCTTTATGACACAGTCACACACCTTGAGGGTATGAACATAGATAGGCCTATGTCGGATCATTTCCCTCCATATTGTGTGATGNCAAAAAGTCAACGGTCACACTGGCTTATACTAACATGAAAACGCCAATCAGTAAAGAAAGATTATTTTTTAAAAAGTATTGAAATGACGAAGAAACTGAAAATAAAACTTAAGTTGATCACTCACCAATGTACATCTTCTCTGCAGTTCAACATTCACCGGTTTCCGTATTCTGACTTGGAATACTCGTACAGCCACTAATATACTGTTGGTGACGTGGTGCACGCATTGTCCTCATTTCTATAAAAACTATCCAATCATACATCACGTATATTCTACCAGAGTCACAGAATTGACTTTTTTCACTAGGTATTCACAGATGTGTCTCTAGCTCATTCGGCTAATATATTATTCTTTCCTGCAAGAGTTTAAGAATGAAATTATCATATCACTCAACTGGCCTCTAGTATATAGAGTGGTAACGCTAGGATTTTTTTTTTCTTTTTGCATGGCCAAACCACCACTTTTTTCAATTTGTCATCCAAATGGTTGTAATTTGATTAAAAGAAATCAAATCAAGCCCTTTTTGTTAGCCAATTCAAGTCAGTTTTAGCATTTGTGTTAGCAATAGTTAGCGAGTGTTTGCGCTACCCCAGTTGAGGGTATTTTACTAGAGCGTGCATGGAATGAGAAGGCACAAAAATGATGAGTTTAAATTGTCTTTGAAAGAGCATTACATCATTACTTGGTTGAAACATGGGTTTATGGCATATCGGAATGGAAAGACTGGCTATCAGGATATCTATGTTATGCTTATTGTAGAGATGTAAATAAGCATGGTGGAATATTAGTATATCAAAGAGCGTTTAGTAAATGGTCTAAAAGAAACCAAACCCCCTAAATTAGACACTGTCGCCCTACTATCAGTTAAGCAGGCTACAGGGCTTGACAAAAATATTGTATTTAGTGCTGTGTGGGTTTACCTCAAGGGGCTAGTATTTATTAGCAAAATCATGTAAATGGAATGCAGGTATTGAGTGAATGGTTGCTCAGAATGCATACGAGGACGAATATTTTATGTTAGTTGGAGATATGAACGCAAGGACTGGAACGTTAAATGGTTTTAACGAAATTGATGGATCGGAACATGTAGCCGATTGGTATGAAAGAGACAACTTTTCTATTCCCCCCAAAAAAATAAAAATCTAGAGTACAACAGACATGGTCAGGACTTGGTCGAACTGTGCTGTAGCACGGACATTCATTTGTAAAATGGGAGAAAACATGAAGATGTGGATGGAGAATATACGTGCCAAGCCAACAATGGTCTTAGTACAGTAGACTACGTTATTACGCGTACGGACACGGAGCTTTATGACACAGTCACACACCTTGAGGGTATGAACATAGATAGGCCTATGTCGGATCATTTCCCTCCATGTGTGATGAACTGTAAAAATGAGAATGTAAACACTTGTGCAAGTACCACAGTAAACCTGATGACCTACTTCATGTTTGTCTTGAGTGAGGAAGGAATAGATTGATTCCTTGGAAAACTAAGTTATAATATGTCAATGACCATGCTTTAAAATGAATTCGAGCAATGTGTGCGGGAAAACATGATGATGCAGTGGATATTATGGAGGAGGTTATGCAATGAGCGGCGGGTGATATGAAAATTACCTACAAGGTGCATAGACCATTACAGACCATTACATGATGGTTGGTTTGACAATAAATGCAGGCAGTAATATTTTAATATTAATTGTTTTCCTGTAATTTACAATTAAAATTTGGTGGTGATTATGCTGTAAAGTAGTGAGCGGAGGTAATATTGCATCAAATTTGATGAAAACCCTATTTTGTGCACTGTCGCCACAAAGTCCATTACAGTGGTGGATTTAGGGGGGTGTCAGGGTTCCGACCCCCCCCCCCCTTCGATTTCTAAAAAAAAAAAAAAAGAAAAAAAAAACACACTAATGGTACCCGTTCGAAATTAGAATTTTGACTAGCTGAATCACAGTTCCAAATGGCACCGTTCGCCCTCTAAAATACCAAATTTTTTCGGGGCCCTCCACTGGACCCCGAACCCCACGCCAATGTGAGTGGGGGAGGATCGACTTTGCATCCGTGAACCCCACCCCCCTTTAAATAATCCTGGGTCCGCCCCTGCATTGGGGGAAAACCACATTACTTATTGATTTCAAACTTACAGAAAAGATCCATAGGACCAAAATGCTGCTTGGGATAGAAAACCAGCCTGATTGGTTTGTTTTTCATATATAAGGAGCTTATAAAATAATATACAAAAGTAAAGTATGAGCGATAATTTTGTAACAGACTACTAGCGCACCCTGTTGTCAGAGAGTAGGGAAGAGATTTGTTATAATGGAGGTTTAATAGTGGCATAAAATGATCAATTCCTTTTCATTAAAAAAAAAATACATAACCCCTCATGACAAACATTGTGAAATTCATGCCCATGTCTAAGTGTCATAGGTAACATTTCTTTACAGACAGTCAAAGTCTTCCAAGTGGTTGTCAAAGCAGGGGCGTAACCAGACCTTTAAAAATTGTACGCACAGATTTTTAAAATTCCCAGCACGTAAAGCAAAATGTAGACTGACGCAACAGATGAAGGACAGTGTAATCATGGCATATGTACCACACATCGCAGCTTAATTTCCTTTTATAATAAAATTATCCTTTAACTCAAAAATATTCTCGCGATTTAATTAAGTTTCAATGTTTTAATTCACCCAGAACGGTATATCTATTTAAAAGGAGGCTAAGTGAAACATCAACTTTGGGCACTGAACGAACTGCAGGTTATGCTGCATTGTCTGCTTGTATCAAACTGAATTCTGAATCATGTTGTGGCACTGTTGTTTAGTGTGAAACACTGATCATATAATGGAGAATGCATTTTTCGTCGTGATGGAGAAACAGTGATAATTCATTAGAAAGCTGTGTTTTATATATTTAATCACTCTCTTAAAATGTTAAAACAAAAGGATTGCACCTGCTGACTGTCTTGTTAATTAAAAAGTTATCACTGAAAAATATAAAACAGTTTGATTGCACATGCGTTTGCTCATAATTCATTTAACAACTATTTTAATTATCTATTCATTGTAAGAATGACACCGTTTTTTGATGCAACACATGAGTGAGTATAAAAGCGACAGTCTTTACTGAAAAGCCATGTGAATTCTTCTGTGGCCTGAGCAGTCAAAGTCCTTAAGAACCTGGTCTATGTCTATCTTGAACTCTCTGTGAACATGTAATAGTCCCAATGACGACAATCGTTTGTCGGACATGGTAGATCTTAGATATGTCTTTAGACGTCTCATAGCGCTAAATGATCTTTCTGCTGTTGCTGTCGACACTGGCATAGTAAGAAGAATCTTGAGGATCCTATGAATGTTGGGGAACAAACCATAACTTGCTTTCACCGCATCCTCTAAGTCCACCCCAGTGATGTCCCCCGTGTTCACGGCTTGTCGCCAGAGCTCCAATTCAATGTCCGCATTGTAATCGAGGACCAGGCCATATTCCGTCTTTATTTGCGTCCATTCTTCGTCGGTCAGGTTGGACAGACGCTGTGGGATCAAACTCTGTGCCAACAGTCGTGGGAAGGAAGTGCAGAGACGGGTCGAAATCTCCGAAATCACATGGTCAGCAAAAGGGAGGAATGCATTGACACGCCAGTGGTCTTTGGGAGATGCCGCCGGTGCATTGTTTCGGTGGATTTGCCTCGCTGCTCTCCTGGGGACAGACACCTCTATGTCATGTTGGGCAGCAAACTCCACCATTTCCCCCCACACCTCGTCGAAGAAGCTGTTGTCCCTTTTCTCCTGATAGAGATCGCGCAGTCTTGTCGCTTGGGAAGATGCCTGAACCAGATCACAGTCTGTCAGCTGGAGCAGCTTGCACAGAGGGACAGTGTACCGGAGTAGGCGATGCGCGATAAAAAGAGGGGCGACGAATTCGAAGCTGTCCATAGCCCGGAAAAGCCCTGCCGCCGTAGTTGATGTTTTGATGTCTTTATCTTTTTCCAGTTCCATCAGCGTGTCCTGAACCTGCCCGAACCTTCCAATGAGAGTGCCCAAGCTTTCCTCTCTCTGGCTCCATCTCGTTGGACAGAAGTTTTGAAGACGCGTGGAGGTGTCGTCGCCATAGGATCGGTAGACGGAAAGTCTCTTTGGTGATGCAGTGATAAAGAACAAAGCCTGAAATATTAATAAAAAATAACATAAGAGACGGAATTCAAACACATTTTTTACAGGAGGAGTGATAGACTGCAAGTCTCTTAGGTGATGCGTTGATGAAGAATAAATCCTGAAATACCGACAAAAAAACAAGAAATTTTTAAGTTATCTTAACTGTGACTAGCAAAAGTGTGTTTGACGCAGAAATATCCTGAATTTATGAACAAAATAAAGGATTGATTAAAATCCAGATGGAGATATGTTCATGAGCTGTCAACCCTTTATACTTAAATTGTATTTAAGTTTTAAATATTATTTAAATTACCTCGCCAACTGTGGTATATAAGTTGCGTATCGGAAGGATGTTGCAACTGTGGCCGATTGCTAGGTTAAGGTTGTGGGACTTGCAATGGACATACTGTGCCATGGGGTACTCCTGCTGGATCCTTGCTTGAACGCCCTTCACCTTTAATAAATCAATAAAAAAGGAATGAATAAATGAAAAACGAAATGATTGATTTGTTAATAAAATAAATAGATGAATAAATAAATGTTAAAAATGAATAAATAAATAAATAAATAAATAAATTAATTAATTAATTAATTAATTAACATCTCACATCTAGTTAAATTCACAGACATTTTAAAATACTGTTCTGGATTATTCTTTTGTTATATAAAAAACAGTAAAAAGATACCTTTCCACTCATGTTTCCAGCTCCGTCGTAGCCCTGCCCGACGAGATTCTCAAGGTCGAGACCCAAGTCCATGATGGTAGATTTTACAAGACCTGCTAAAGCTTCACCGGTTGTTGACTCGGTGCTGGCAAAAGTGACAAACTTCTCTTGCACTTGAAATGTAGAATCTACGTAGCGGAGAGAAAGGGAGACTTGCTCTGTGTTGCTGACATCTGCCGTTTCGTCGGCCAGGATGGAGAAATACTGGGCAGCTTTGCATTCTCGAAGTATGCCTTCTTGTACTTGCCTTGCCATCAGATCTAGTAATTCGTTCTGAATGAGAGGCGATGTATATTGAGCGTTTCTTGGGCCCTTCCCGATGTGCTGAGCCACAGTTTCAGATGATGACAATCGAAGAAACGCGGAAAAATTCGATCGTTCGTCACTCTTTGACAACGGCTCTGTCTCTGCTGTTTCTGCTGTATCGCCAGCGTCGTCCCGTGCACGTTTGCGCCAGTTATCCTGAGTTTTCGTTAAAAAATCTGAACAACAGTTGATTGTCGCAATATCATTACGCTTTCTTGCGATCCATTTCGTGATATCCATGGTCATTTCCACGATCAAATTACTAAGCATTGAACTTAAATATTGAATACGGTATCATCCAGCTGACATGCGGGTGCATGACTCCCAAAAACAACCAATTATATGACACGACAGAGCTCTGATACATTTTAGTTTAATTGTTTGTTTGTAAAAATTGCCCATGTCACCCTGTTAGTTTGGAGGACTAAGTTGGATCAAGTTCGTGTTAAAATTCTTTGAAGCTTTGCAGGAAAAATTATTCCTTTGTTTCTCCAGCTCCTTATTTAACCTGGTGTCCAGATTTTATCTTGTGCCCCCAGGTCTGCGAGAGCTGCATGCTCTTTTAAAATAACGCACAGGTAGATTTTTACCTGAGATAAATATCGCCAGCGGAGTGCGTTCTGTACTCTCAAGACAAAGGCCATGGGAGTGTGGAAGGCCACTTACCCTCAAATTAAGAGGTAAAGGAAGTTCCAGTTAGATGGACGATTAAGATAGGACTTGTATAGGCAACAGGCATTGTTTACCTCTATTTAATAAAAGTATGCAAGACGGGGTGTCAGAACAATGGTGCGTATGCAATTGATACAGAGGATATGTAAATACAGGTGACTTTAACTCGCAGAAGATTTTTGATTATATTCCGTGAAAAATACACTAAATTTATATAAAATATTATCATGCTTGGCCAAAAAAATTGTACGCACAGTGCGTCTGTGCGTATGCCTAGTTACGCCCATGCAAAGTAAAAGAGAGACCTCCTAGGATAAAAGTAGCTGTCCAAGTGATTTTATCTTGCAGGATATTCTGCTGATCAGCTTGTTAATACCCAAGGTTAATTCACCTCTCCACAGGTTTGTCGGCTTATTATCAGCCTTTCAGTTGTTCACCTTGCTGCCTGATGAGAAACCGAACAAATTTTTGGTGAGCGACAAGCTGTGGCATCATTATAGTGCCATATATAGTGGTATCAAGACATTTGAGGATTTTGTAAACTTTTGACTCGTGTGGCTGTTTTGATTGCTGTCATCGCTATTTTTTTTTTTTTAAATTTTCAAAAGATCCAATGATGAGGCGTCGTGTTCTGTCAAGATTAGTGAAGTGTCAAGAGGGATAACAGAGTTTTAATTAAAATGTGTATTTGCTGATCGGTCAGTTTACAAGCCATAGTATTCGACTCAACATCTGTTACATTTACAACCGTCACCATTAAAAAGAAAACTACGAAAGCTCTTACTTGGACAGATAACACATTATATTGTTCTTATTACGATAGATATCTCTTATAACTTTTTATAATTTGACAATGTTCTGGCAAGCTCGGCTGTCATATTTATGCCCACCCTATCTGATGGCTTTGCCACGGCGGGCATATTGATTATTGACGTCAAATGTTGCTCCTTTAATTTACTGCAACTACTAGTGCTTTGAAACGTTCAGAGGCCAGTTTATACAAAATAATTCCAGTAGAGTGTTCGGTTCTCAAACATAATCCACAGACTTGTTAATTAATTTTAATGAAGTCACTTGCTTGTGCACTCGACTCGTTTTATGGCCTTACATGTAATTATACAACGCAAGTGGGCGTGTGCAAATTGAGTAATTAAACTTAGTAACTAACGCCAAATAATAATAATATAATAATAATAATTTATTGAGCACAGAAATGACTTTACATTTAAAGGCTCTCTAACTACTATGTATTACATATATATTTATATGGAAAAATAGTAACAATAGTAAATAAATTAAAAAAGAAAATTGTACGTATATGATGTTATACAATTATATATTCTAAGTGGAATGGATGAAATCCTTAGCGTATTAATTGCGTTTTTTCATAATTTTACTCATAGAACTTCTTACTTCAGTTGCCTGTGCAGAGGGTGGATTTAGAATGATGTCACGCTGTTTAGCCTTGTCTGTTAGACCCTGCAATTTTACCTCTGGTATAGTGCAGCACTGAATCCACCATAGATAAGGAATTTGTATATAAGACGTTCTGAAGTAATATTTGGGAGTTCAGATTGAGAAAGATTAAAGGAGACCGCTTGGGAGAGCTAGGAAAACGGACGCGAGCCATGGGAGGTGATTCCATATGGAGACTTTACGTAGATCCTGTAGTTAGCAAGCGTCATCAAATAAACCGTTAAGCTGGTCATTACGTATGTGTCCTTTTTTATCTGAGCGACTTTACGTTAGACTGACACGAACCATGGAATTGCGGATTGCGTTGTGCGCGGTATGAATAGTTATTAATTACACAAGCATAACAGATTTCATTAGAAGAGGTGTCGATTATGCAATGTGACATTAGGCAATACTGTACAAGATTTTGCCAGAACTGTAATAACGGAATGGCCTCTCAGTCAGAACTAATTTATGGTTGTCAGGAATGTTTTTTCAGTTAGGTTTTTACACAGTACCATTTTCGATGCATTTTGTTTTCAGGCATCATATCAGCTTACCGTACATTGTGCCTGTATAACAACATGGCATGCATAAATTAATAAACGGCAGATCTTATTTGAAATTCGCCCGTGTCCGTTTTTACGAGATTGTCTCAAAGATTTGAAATTCGTTTATTTAGTTTTTATATGGTTTACCTTTGGGGTGAAGAGAAAAGACTTGAGATTTTCAGGAAAATTAAAAATTTTAATATTTAGAGGTCTAAAATCTCACTTTGCGGCTGCCAGCAATTTCCATGTCTCTTTCAAACAGCCAACGAATGCTGCCACTATAAACCCCCTTTACACTGGACGGCGTCCTTTCCGCATCCTTTGTGCGACCATGAAACTGGCATCGCAGTGGTCGTAAAAAGGAGGCACAAGCATCGTTTTGGTTGCAAAATGAATGCTTAATGATCGGCCAGTTGTCAGCACGTAAAGTATTATTATTATTATTATTATTATTATTATTATTCTCCTCCCAAACAGGACCGTACTATGGGACGCAGAAAGGACGCCGTCCAGTGTAAAGGGGCTTAAACAAGTGCAGGCATTCAACGCTAGTGAACTCTCACACTATTTAGAGATCGTGCTTGGCCAATGCTATGATAGCCTGTTGGCTGAGTAGTGGTCGGTATAATCACAAGACTGGACGTGTCGTGCACATGAGGTGGTCCGCTGGTCAGTTGAAGTAGGGGGTGGTTTGAAAGTGATACGCTGTAAATTTGATTATTTCAGGGGTTTTAAGTATCCTATGGGCTTGTTTGTCTCTCATAACGTGGAAGATTCATGGGGCGCGAGATAATGGATTGTAGGTTCGTCGGCTATGCCCATGGTTCATCAAGATGGAGAGAAAAAATTACGCTTGGCTCCGAGCTTTACTGACAATGTGGTGGAACGAAGGGTAAAGTAACTCATTTTTTTATGTTTAAATGCAAACCTCATTTAGCTATGATTGCTTCCGTAATCAGTGTTTAAGTCACTTTTGGAGAACGGTTTCATTAATATCCGATGTTCTCTCAATATTGGTTCACGTGGCTCGCACAACGCTCGGTAGGTAAAGAATACAAAGTAATGCGTAAATGAGTGGATTAATATGCTACCCTTCAACTGTATGTATTGACATTTACCTTTATTTACAACCAAGTCTCTTTCGAGTCACTATCAATTTCACATTTGACGTAGATCATTTTTTCGTTACTTGCAGTGGGGATATGGTTTACAAAGCAAGCCAGTGTAGTGTTTTTGTCACTGCCAAGAGCATCCTGGGATGTCTGCTGCGCATTTGGGGACTGCGCAGGGGCGCTCACATATAAACTAACACCAGCCCATGTGACGCCCCAGATCCCGGTAGATCTTCACCAGTGAAGAAGTACAAAGCTCCTCCAAGTTGACGTACTCTCACAGCATAGTGCCACACATTAACAGAAGGACCAGGCAATACTCTCAGTAAGTACCAGAAGTGTTTGTTTCTGCTATTGAATTAGAGTAAAACACTTTATTGGCGACGAGGTACACACGACCTCTTAGCATAAAGCTGTTGCAAGCCATTAGGTAATTTCTCCTTTGTTCGACGCCATATTGAAAAATTCGGCGGGCGGGGGTCAAGTTTTTGAAACTTCACAGTAAGTTCTTAACTTTCGGCCGTAAAGTTACCGCGTAGGGAACGGGGAGTATTCCTTTTTGGTTTGTTTACTTTGACATTCAGTAAAACAGCACTTATTGAGAAATTGCCTGTCGTAAGGGAGACGTTGTTCTCGTACATCTGTTCAAGGCACGTGCAATAGCAATATTGTACTAACCATCTTATTTATTGCATTTTTAACTATTTGTTATCACATTTCAATTTTTGTCCTTTTCTGGTACAATTGGATTTAATAGTTGGTTGTTTTACTGGCACAGGGTTAATTTAAATTTTGTTTATTCCTGGAATATTGATATTAGTTATTTAAACGATTGATATATTCTGTGTACTGGGATAAACTTAATCACTTATCTGTAAATTATTAGTTTCATAAAAATTTGATTCTAGATTTATAGATTTAGTGAAAATTTATCTTTCTCTTTTTGAATTTCCATTGGTGGGGTTTTTTCTAAATCTTTCCGGTGTTGAGTGCCAGTTAATAGCTTGCTATTTTTTCTGATTAATTGTGTTAGATTTTACATCAACACAATGGCAACTTCTTCCCAGTTGGTAGATGTCAATTCTGCTACATTGGAAGATTTAGTTGATGTGCCAGGAATTGGTCAAAAGCGTGCTGAGAAAATTTTATCTGTGAGAGAAAGAGGTATACGCCTTAATCAAAATATCTTACAACAACTTTTTGGTCAAACTATATCATCTAAAATTATGCCCTACCTTCAGTTTGAGTCTTCTCATATAAAAAGTCAGGGTGGGGCAAAACCTAAATCAAAAAGGCATACTTCTACTTCCGCAGATATTTCTAAGCATGCTAAATCTTTGGATCTTGGACGTGATTCGTTTAGGCGCTCTCTCTTTTTTCCAATAGAGGGAGAACCTATTAGAACACTCAATGATGGTGATGAAATTTTGGAATTACAGCAAAAGATTTCTGATTTAAAACTAAAACAAGCAGAAATCAAACAAAAAAGTAAGGAAGTGCAGAAAGCAGCTTCCATATCTCCAAAAACATACAGGAGATTGCATACATTACCACATTCTGAGAAATCTAATAGGTCACGAGAAAGTCGTGGCGTCAAATCTGTCTCACATAAAAGATCATCTTTGCCTGTAGATTTTCTTGATGCACATTCTCTTGGAGCACGCATGCATGATACCACTCAGAATAGGGGTCACACTTCTTTTCAGGGTACTTCGGTGCATGGTGCACATTTCTCAGGTAAAAAGGTTTCCTCATCTTTTATTCCCATACCTTCTGGTATTGGGAATATTTCCTCTCATCACCATTCTCGTCTTTCTACTCCGCAGTCTGAATTGTCTACTACCTCATCTGAGGAATCACTTGATTCTACAGCACAAGGTGAAAGTTTTCATAAAAAGCACTCTTTTTCACACTTGTCCAAGGGTAAAAAACAACACACACCCTTCCAGATGATGTGGACTTTTCACATCCACCCTTTATTTCGCACGGTCAAGCACAGAAAATCGCACCATCTTTATCAGGCAATAAACACCCATCTTATTTAAGACCTGAACCTCAAGGTCGTCAGAGACCTGTTTACTACATAACCGGAGAAGAAGATGATGACGCTCCCATTTTTATACGGCCAACAAAATCTTTTAAAATTAAAAAAGATAGGGGTGATCCAAAAGATCTACCCAAAAACTTACATTTTGATGGAAAAAATAATTGGGAAGCGTTCAGACATCGCTTTGAAAGTTATAGGGATGTAAATGAATGGTCTGACAACCAGTGTAAGGATTACCTTTCCTGGAGCCTTGAGGGTAGGGCCTTAAGCTTTTTTACAAAATTTACTCGTGATTGGGATAAATATTCCTATCAGCAAATCATGAGTAAATTAGAGTCTGTTTTTGGTACGGAGTTCCTACCAGAGACGGCTCGGGCTGAATTCCATCAATCAGTCCAACTACCTACTGAAACACTCAATGATTGGGCTTGTCGCGTAATGAGTTTGGTCACTGATGCCTATCCGGATCTCCCAGATTCTTTCACTGTTAAAGAGGCTATTACTAAATTCTGTCAAGGCTGCCTAGATCCGGAAGCAGGTAAACATGCCCGTCTTTCACATCCCATTTCCATGGAAGACGCCATCAATAAAGTTCGCTACTATCAGCATGTCTGTCAGGATTCCTCTGATACCAAAAAGCGTGGGAGAAAATCTCGTGACGATTTGGTTATTAATCAGGTGGAACCCGAGCAGTCTGTTGATGATAGTGAACCCCCATCAAAAATTGAACAACTGTTGGAAAGCATTTTAGAAACACAAACCCAAATTTTAAAGCCCCCTGAACAACCCTCAGTCAATTCCCTCGAAATTAAATCTTTAGAAGACCTTGAAAAAATAATAGAACAAGTCATTTTAAAACACAAATCAATTGAATCGGCCTCTCAGTCAAAAAGACCTGTACAGACTTGTTATTTTTGCCAAAAACCCAACCATTTTAAGAGGGATTGTCCAAAGTATAAATTTTGGTTAAAAAAGCAAAAAGCAAAATTGGCCCAATCCAACAGTGTAGATTACAATTTAAAAGCCTAGGGGCCAGGGTAATTGACCGTATCCCTGGTACCCCTTCCCTCCACGGTCAATCAGTGACTCAAACCATGCCTAACTCCGTCATGCATGAAAGAGTGAATCTTGCTAGTGGTTCTACTGCCTCTACTCACTCCAGTCAATCCAATATCCAACAATATTCAACCCCCATTATGGAGTCCCAGCCTTGTAACACCCTAGGCAGTATGCCTTTCCATAATGGCAGGGGGAGTGGTGGTAGTAGTTCTGCTTATAACGAGACCAGACGTCTAGATCCATCTATCCGTTCTGGAAACTCTAGAGATCCCTCTAATGTAAGGAGAAGGCGGGTTTACACAAACCAAAGTGCACAGCCCATTCCGCGTGTTCAGCAGATTTCCATCGGGTCTTCATTCATTCGACTTAGAGTGGGTCAGACAGTGGTAAATGCTAGATTAGACACTGGGGCGGAAGCTACAGTGCTCTCTTCGAAAGTTTACAACAGTCTGAAAAACAAGCCGGCTAAACTCGAAAATTGTAAAATGAGATTAGCTGGGAATAACTCTATGTTGAATGGCTTTTTAATTGAGCCAATCTCCATGCAAATTGGGTCATACCAATTTGCTGAGCAGGTTTATGTCGCCCCAATTCATGATGAAATGCTCCTTGGTCATGACATCCTCCAACACATGGGTGCTATCTTAGACCTCCGGGATAATGCGCTTGTTATAAATGGTGAGCGGGTCCCTGTTACTACTGAAATATCCAAAGGCCAAAAACCAACAATTGCTAGAGTAACCTTATCTCAAAAAGTAGTGGTTCCTCCAAATTCAGTAATGCGGGTTTCTTGTAGTATTAGTGAGCCCTTAGAAGAGTACATTGTAGAATCAGTCAATGAGGGGGGAGAGTTACTCATTCCACGTACATTGCAATCTAAAACAGCAAGGCCAGTAGTATGTATAGTAAACCCCACTAGCCAATTTAAAAAACTCCCTAAAGGCAAAAACATCGCCAGCGCATGTGAGATTGGTCAAATTTTAGAAAGCAATGAAGGTTTAGATTTCTATCCGCAGACTGGTTCCAGTGCTTCATACGCTTTAGCCGGTGAAACTGGAAACACCACTGCTGAAGAAACTAAACACCCGATCAATAATTCACTTGAACCTTCAGACCCAACTACCTCAGTATACGCTTTAGTCGGTGCTGTAGGTGGTAATACTGAAGTAAAAGCAAGTGAATTCAATGCCCAAAATCCAAGTAGAGCCCTGTCCATCCCTTCTCAAGTATACGCTTTAGTCGGTACTAATAGAGAAAAGACAGAACTCGATCTTGGAAGTCCTATATGTCCCTCACTTAGAGACCAAAATGATACATCTGCAGTAGACACTTTAGCTGATGCTGATAGTAGTAGATTGGTTCTCAATCATAGTGGGACATATCCCGAACAAGACATACTTGTTAATAGGTCCCTTTCTAATGGTGTTTGCATTCAATGTGCTACACTTAAACAGGGGGGGACTGTCCCCAAAACAAGTATTTTTCACAACAATGACACACTTGAGAGACTGCCTGTGTTAAAGGGCCCTCGTACTTCGCGTACTTTTTCCATCCGCGGCAGGTCAGTTCTTGAAAGTGAAAACCCGAATTGTGACTCACTCGATACACAGTTAAAGAACCTGAATCACTGCTGTCTGTGTGGTGTTTATTTGGGAGATTCGACTGTAAATTCGAGTGAATTTCGCGTAAATTCTGTAACCGAGCAGCAAAGTCTACATGATGCAAAGTCCTGGGAAAATGCAGACTCAATCTTGTCAAAGATACCTGATCATGTAAAATCAGTTTTTGAAACATCTAAACAAAATTTAACTGCAAGTCAGCAATGTCATCTTGCTCAAATTCTCATAGAATTTCAAGACGTTTTTGCAAAAAATGAATATGATCTGGGTGACTTTGATGCCATTGAGCATGGCATTGACACTGGCCAAGCTCAACCCATAAAACTACGTATGCGGAGGACTCCTGCGTGTTTTGTTGAGGAAGAGGAAGCGCATCTAAATAAGATGTTAAAGGCTGGTGTAATCCAGGAATCGACATCAGACTGGGCTGCAGCACCGGTGTTAATCAGAAAACGCGATGGTTCGGTGCGTTGGTGCATAGATTATCGCGCACTGAACAACGTAACTGTCAAGGATACATACCCGTTACCTCTAATGGAAGATTGTCTGGATACACTTTCTGGTAAGACCTGGTTCTCCAAGTTGGATGCCAATTCAGCGTACTGGCAGATTAAGGTTAAAAAGGAAGATCGTAAAAAGACAGCTTTCATTACGAAGTATGGTCTGTTCGAGCATGTGCGCATGGGCTTCGGTCTTACTAACGCGCCCGCGACGTATTCGCGTGTAGTCAATCTGTTGATGAGAGGGTTAACCTGGAAAACAGTTTTGGCTTTCTTGGACGACATACTGGTAATGGGTGAATCCTTTGATAGTCACATCATAAACCTTAAAGAGGCATTGGGGAGATTCCGCTTGTACAAAATAAAACTCAAGCCAAAAAAGTGTTTATTCTTTCAAACTGAAATTGAGTTCCTAGGGAGAATTGTTTCACAAAACTCCATCAAAATGAATCCTAGGGACATAAACACAGTTATATCTTGGCCAAAACCCTCCAATACTAAAGAGTTGGAAAAATTTCTAGGGTTGGTTAATTACCACAGGGGTTTTATTAAAAACTTTGCAGAACTCTCACAGCCTCTTTATAAACTCACGGGCAAACGCCCATTCATCTGGGGTCCAGACCAAACGAGAGCATTCGAAGCATTAAAGAGAGCATTAACCACACCACCGGTTTTAGCACTCCCTAATAACAGTGATCCTTTCATCTTGGACACGGACGCTTCTGAAAATGCTATTGGTGCAGAATTACTCCAAGTTCAGAACGGGGAAGAAAAAGTAATTGCCTATGGTAGCTACGTTCTAACTCCTGAACAGCGGAATTACTGTACTACTCGTAAAGAACTTTTGAGTATCGTGAGATTCACGCGTCAGTTTAAGTATTACCTTTTAGGCCGAGATTTTACGGTACGAACAGACCACTCAAGCTTAACTTGGTTACTTCGGTTTAAGGAGCCACAGGGTCAGCTTGCTCGTTGGATAGAAGAGCTTTCACAGTACCATATGATTGTGCAACATCGGCCAGGAGTGAAACATCAAAATGCAGATGCACTGTCACGGAGGCCAGACAACTTAACACCATGCTCTGCATATGTGGCAGGAATTAAACCAGAGGACTTGCCTTGCGGGGGATGCCATTATTGTACTAGAGCCCACACATCCTGGGGAAGTTTCTTTACAGACGTAGATGAAGCAGTGGGGCTAGCCAGGACTAAAGATACCAATACTACCCGCGTAAAGCAGCTCAATTCTGTCGCACATTTATCTCACACTCAAACAGGTCTGGATACCCTAGATACATCCCTCAATAAAATGGAAAATTTCCAACTCTGCTTCAGTATTCTTGATACTCTAGTAGCCTTTTCCGTCGGAGAAAACTCTACTGATCCCCAACTATCTCGGATAGAGATAGTGAGGAACGGAAATGAAATTGGGATCAATACTTGTGGAACACCATTAAGTTACCCAAAAGTAGATTCTAGAATTCCTTGCTGTTGGGGTTTTTCTATTCAGTATCTTAAAACTGAGCAAGAAAATGATGTAGAGCTAAATTTTCTCAGGGAATGGTTGCTATCTGGGGAAATCCCAGATGAGGGACTTCTTTTCCGATCTAGTCCTATTACAAAAAATTACTGGATGAACAAAGAATTATTTCGCTTGGTTCAAGGTGTAATTTTCTTTAAAGACCCAAAAGACCAGGAATTAAAGCTGGTCATTCCAGAAAGTTTAAAGGGGAAAATTTTGGAATTGCATCATGATATCCCATCTTCAGGTCATCAGGGGGTAGCTAGAACCAAGTTAAAAATAAAAGAAAAATTCTTTTGGTATCATCTAAGTAAAGATGTCACTAGCTTTGTATTAAGTTGTGATGTCTGTAACCGTAACAAACGGAAGGGCTGTTATGGAAGAGTTCCTATGACTGAGTATCAATCCAGCTCACCAATGGAACGCGTTCACATAGACTTTATGGGACCGTTACCTAGAACAACCCAAGGAAACGAGCATTGTTTAGTGATGGTGGACCAGTTTACCAAATGGGTCGAGTGTGTGCCTTTGCCTTCTCAGAAAGCAGAAGTAACAGCTAAAGCTGCTATTGATAGTTTCTTTTCCAGATTTGGATATCCTTTGCAGATCTTTTCTGACCAAGGTAGAAACTTCGAGAGTACGCTTTTTACTGCACTGTGTCGCGCATTGCACATTCACAAAGCCCGTACTACACCGTATAGACCCTCAGCTAACGGCCAAGTTGAACGATATAACCGAACCATCATGGAGGCTGTCAGGTGCTTCGTTGGTAAACAACAACATGAATGGGATAGGTATATCCAACAAATTGCTGGAGCGTTAAGGTCATCGGTAAATAGGGATACTGGTTTTACTCCTAACATGCTTATGCTGGGTAGGGAGGTTAACACCCCTGCTCAATTAATGTTTCCCATTATAACATCTACGGCCCAAGATTATGGTGAATATGTTTCTAAATTCATTCTTAAAACCCAGCAGGCTCACCAAATTGCTAGGGATAGGTTAAAAACAACAACCAAAAGAATGAAACGGGATTACGACCTCAAAATCTTATTAAGGCCTTACGCTGAAAAAGATCTTGTGTACATCATGGACACAGCGGTAAGTAAGGGTAAATCTCGTAAACTAAGTTCACCATGGAAAGGCCCTGGGGTTATTCAGGACAAACTGTCAGCCTATCTGTACAGGGTTAAGCTGAAGAATGCTGTTTTTGTTGTCAATCATGACAGATTAATGCCGTGCAGAGATAGGAAACTTCCTGCATGGATTTCAGCATATTTGGCCTCTCCTTCAGTAAGTACTCAGGAGGATATAAATGACACACATAATTACTGTGTGTGTGTAAACAACCATATGGAGGTAGGTTTATGATCCAGTGTGACTATTGTGATGAGTGGTATCATGGATCGTGCGTCAATATTACACCTTCTGATGCTCTTGATATCACTAAATATAAATGTTCATCATGTATAGCTTCTGGTCAAAACTAAAATCCATTTTTTATATCCTTTCAGATATGGCAGCTGGCAGGAACATAGTGGATGAGTTGGAGTTCTTACTCCCCATGAAGCAGGTCCCTTTCATTGAGGGGAGGGAGATGGTAACCGAGTTGGTTGCACTCTACCCATTACCTGATCAGCAACAACAAATAAGAGACTGGGTGGCGAAGGCAGCTAAAGTCCAAAAGGCCAAGCTGAAAGGGAAGGACCATGGGTATGCTCTGCACTGGCTAAAGGATGTGGCTTGGGAAATGAAGGCCCAGAATCTAGCTTCCGTATCGTGGCTTAAATCGGCTGTGATTAGACCACCACCTGGACCTGTGTCCAAACCCAAAGCGGGTCCCGGCAAGGGCTCTAGCTCCGCTAGTGTACTTGCTGGTCCGTCGAGGGATATTAGGGTGGGGGTTGATCCCACAGTTCAGATTCATTCCTACGAGGTCAAGGGTAGTGATGGCAATAGTGAGAGTGTAACAACATCTGCACCTGTTATTGTCAAATCGGAGCCAATGGAGGTGGAGACAGTAGCTGAGACCCCAGAAGCCGGTGAACCTGTGATCATTGATCTCACGGATCCGGTGTATGAGGAATCATGTGAATGTCAGAAACCCCTTGTCTCTGATATCACCCCTTGTCCAGGAACTAGTTCTGTGGAGATAGTGACCCCTGTCGTGTCTGATAGTTATGAGTGTATTCCATCTACTTCTCAGGTTGCTAGTATGAAACCTCCGACTGGGTTAGGTGATATTCCATCTACATCTACGCCCAACCCGTTTGCTGTTGCCGATCCAGAGCCGAGAGTTATCAAACCCAAGGCAAGGAAGGGGAAGCGCAGTAATAAAGGTAAAAGACGGCAGCAGGCTGACGCTTTGGGTAAGGGCCCTGAGGTCTCTGATGGGTCAGTCGGGGTTGGCCACTTATCAATTGTGTCTAACTTCACAACCGGGGAGTCTCGCAAGAGAACTGGGCAAACATCCTTGCCTTCTGTTCCCGTTTCTGGACCTAAAAAATCTAAAATCGGGTATCAGGGGGTGAGATGTTTGATCCCCGGGTGTGGAGAAATATTCACCAACAAGAAGGCGCATGATATGCAGGTCCATCTCCCGTTGATTTTTGATGAGTCGCTTGGTTCCGAGCCTGGAGTTTTGGATTTGAGGGTTAAGGCGCTGGAAATGGTGAACATCTGGCGGTTTGGACAACCACATTCGTTAATAACGCTTTGTGAGTATGTGGCTTCGCTAGAGGGAGATTTATTCTCTCTCCGTGACACGGAGTTCACCCAGCCGCAGTTGGAATCTATGAAGGCGTTCTGTAAATTCGTAGGGGCAACTTGTCCTGAAAAATTTACCTTAAATCCCATTAATTCTGTCGGTTGTCTGGTACACTGGAAGATTCTTATGCTGATCTCGAGTTCCCTCAAGGATTCGCAGAGAAAGCTCTGGATTGAAAAGTTTACCGTGCCGGGGGTATCTAGGAAGATGGTTAAGGAGGTAGGTGGACGTGTTCTGGCCTTTGATAGTCATTATCATTTGGACAGGACTCTGAAAGCTGCCAAATTGCCATTAACTGGTACTTTGGAGTCTCTGAAGCCTGTTGTAACTGTGGCAAGGGGTAAGGAGGTGGAGTTCGGTGGTACGGTAGCCGTGTATTGTGACCCTGAGACATATCCCTCTAAGGGTGTGTTATCTAAGATCTCCAGGGGCACATACATTGCTATCGGGATGCACCCTAAAAAGGCCAAATTGCCTCTGAAACAGCGAATGCATGGTCTGAAGTTGCTCCGGGAATTAGTCAGGTTGCCAACTGTCGTTGCCCTGGGGGAGATCGGTTTAGACTTTACCGAACCTTCCGAAAGATGGCAGGATCAAGTGGAATTGCTTTACGACATTCTTCCGCTCCTGGAGAGAAGGCACGTTTTGGTCTTACATTGCCGAGGGATGGTGAATGGTGATTGTGTGTATGTGTTGAAATCGATGTTACATCATCTACGTCTTCATCATATACCGCAGAACCACCCCATCCATTTACATTGTTTTTCCGGCACTAAAATGTTGATGGAGACATGGCTAAAACAGCAGCCAAACACCTTTTTCGGTTTCACTAGGCTGGTTTCAACATTTTCCCCAGCACAAAAGGAGGCACTGAAGGCTGTTGATGACTCTCGCCTTCTGCTTGAGTCTGATGCACCATATTTCAGTCGCCCCGGTGAGTCGATATCAACGCCTTATTCTCTTTATGAGACGGCTGAACTAGTAGCTGCCGCTCGGGGAGTTTCTGTCGAGCATGTCTTGAGGGTGACTCATAAAAATGGGCTCTCTCTGTACGGGCATGCCAATCAGAGCTCTTCATAGATTCTGTCCTATGAAGTATTAGATTTTACATCAATACAACATAGCATTAGGTGACTTCCTTTTGTGGGGTTGCTTGAACAGGGCTGGAGGTGAATTGCTAGTTACTCGTTGCCTGGAATCTATGCTAGCTGATTTCGTGGTTTCATCTATATACTCCAACATTAAGGGTACAGTGAATACCTACAGTTACTCCTCTATAAGTTAACGTCTTTTTGTTTAGTACTTTTTCCTTTATCCAGCTATCAGCAAATTTACTAAACACCAAATTGGTGTAACTAAGTCATTCTATTTATTAATTCAGTCTGTCCACCAGGTTGGTGTGTGTGCATTAATTTTGTTTGTCTGCACTGGGAAAGTGTTCTTGTTTATTTAAAATTTTTGGTCTTTTTCACACCGGGAAGGTGTAATTATTATCATAAAAATTCAGTGTCTGGTCTATACATCAAAATGATGTTAAATTTCAAATATTATGGCATAATACAAATGTCAATACATAAACTACATAAATTTTGTAGTTTTTTAAATTTAACAGACACCAGGATGGTGTACTGTAGTAATTCTAGTTGGTTTCACACCAAAACAGGTGTATCATGTTATTATGGTTATCCAGCACTGATAATTGACCTCATTTTTTATATTTTTACAGTGACCCATAAATAAACGGGTTAATGGTTTATGTTTAAGCTGATGGACTGGAGATTTCTATATTCAGGTATTTTTCCTTTATGTACTTTGGACTGGGAAATCCTTATAGATCTATCTTTCAGTTATTTTTAATGGTGAAATTTTGCAATTTTGAAATGAACTGAAATAGTTCAATATGGCAATATATCTGTATTTTTGGAGAAAATTCAGTGGTTCATTGGTTTGATTCTTTTTGTTTGTACTAAAAATCTGAGAAAATGTCATGTTTCGACTATCTCAGTATTTCTGGTTTTTTCTTTATGCTCAGTTTAATGAGGAGTGGTATTCAAAGAGTCAATTTTTTGGGCTCTGTATCTTGATGTTTGGTGAGAGATTTTACATCATCACCACTTTATTTCGTCTCTATTAAGGAAACCGTAAAGAAGAGATTTTACATCATTCTGGTTCTTTTAGAGAAATTACTTTCGGTGTTCATGGTAGATATTGTATCACCATGGGACATAACCTCCACAGGGATGATTCTGTCGTAGAGTTTACTACCTGGAGTTCTTACAACACTTGTAGTGATACTTGCTAGGAGATCTTACATCACTAGTAAAGTATACTGTTCTAGAAGATCTTACATCGCTAGTATGGTTAACTCTTGAATATGGCCTTGTGGAGAACCAGGGGTCTACTCTAAATTCTATCAATCTGGAAATGCAGAGTTACTGGGCACTCTGTATATAGTCTGTACATTGTCTGTACATATCTCCTCTGTCTGTTATCTAGTCTGAGCTGGACTCATTCTTTTTATACTGGCATGGGATTTGTATATATGTAAATATCCTTTAAGGGATTAACTCTGCAGGACCTTGTATTTTTCTATTTGGCATGTCACTACAGGGGGTAGGGGGGATAGATTTCACTTTCATTTTTCTTTTCTCTATTTCAACTTTAGTAGACCTCTGGGAGATTTCTTTGTATATACTCTGTCCTTTTTCAATAAAACTGGGGGGAGTGTAGTGTTTTTGTCACTGCCAAGAGCATCCTGGGATGTCTGCTGCGCATTTGGGGACTGCGCAGGGGCGCTCACATATAAACTAACACCAACCCATGTGACGCCCCAGATCCCGGTAGATCTTCACCAGTGAAGAAGTACAAAGCTCTTCCAAGTTGACGTACTCTCACAGCATAGTGCCACACATTAACAGAAGGACCAGGCAATACTCTCAGTAAGTACCAGAAGTGTTTGTTTCTGCTATTGAATTAGAGTAAAACACTTTANGGGATGTCTGCTGCGCATTTGGGGACTGCGCAGGGGCGCTCACATATAAACTAACACCAGCCCATGTGACGCCCTAGATCCCGGTAGATCTTCACCAGTGAAGAAGTACAAAGCTCCTCCAAGTTGACGTACTCTCACAGCATAGTGCCACACATTAACAGAAGGACCAGGCAATACTCTCAGTAAGTACCAGAAGTGTTTGTTTCTGCTATTGAATTAGAGTAAAACACTTTACATCAAACAAAGAGGATAAAAACTACTCGACCGAGGAGAGCGGAGAGTTTGAAAATGAAGGGAGTGGCCAACAAATACCAGGTGAAGTTGGCTCAAATCTTGCTGATACTTTCAATTTGTTTAAATCCTATATGGATCAAAAGTTTAAAGGATTAAAAAGAGAACTGTCCAAGAAAAATATAGCAGAAAACAAAAAATTGAGGTCATCCCATGAAATTGAATTCAAGTTCAAAGGAAACAAAAAACAATTTGAATTTAACACTGAAGTACTTGAAAACCTTGAAATTGCAGAAAGTTACTTTAAGAAAGGGGAAGTGAAGTCTGGAAGACAGTTACTCAAAAGGTCCGTAGATCAAATTAAGAAACGTAACAAGCTTATAAGATTGGCGAACAAATCGGATGCTGGTTGGGAAGCTGTGGAAGAATATCAATCCGATGATCTTGCAGATGATAGTGAAGACGAAAAGAAAATTCGTTCAGCCCAGATAAGAGCAAATAGAAAATTGCGCCAGAAAAAACAGAAACGCAACAATGTCGGTCAACGTAGGTCTGGTGTTTATAATAGCTATTTCAATATGCCTGTTCAATATACAGCCTCAGCCAATTTTTCAGGTTCAGGGCCATTCAAAAGGCTTTTTCGAGCCAAAAGAAGTCAACCGTCCAAGTATGACCAGTGTTTTGGACGTGGACAATACGGTCACTGGCGAGCAGAATGCTCCAAATTTAACCAGCAAAAGCAGTCATATTTTCAAAACAACACGGAACCGAACCCAAGCTACAACAGCTACGCACAGGTCGGCAGTCAATAAGACAGATACAACTCTAAAAGATAAGTATAATAGCGACAATGTGAAAGGTAGATTGAAGAAAAATGTAGCTTTTTAGGAAAGTATTTGTGCCAATACGTATGTATTAGATGTAATAAAACAAGGATATGTTATTCCTTTTATAAATACACCACCAAAAATGATTATGAAAAACAATAAGTCTGCATTAGACAATAAGGATTTTGTGAAGAATCAATATCAGATTTGTTACAATCAGGCCGTATCAAAGAATTTAAAGGGATACCACAAGTTGTTAATCTTTTGACGGTGGCAATAAATGGGAAAAAGAAACGTTTGGTTTTAGATATGAGATGTGTAAATACATACATTTGGAAAGAGAGTATTAAATTTGAGGATACAAGAATTGCATTACAGTACGT